AGTTTCTATTCAGATTTGAGAATATCTATAACATATCCATTACCCATCAGGTAAGGAATCTATCCAAAAAATACTTATTTATTTGGGTCAAGTCGAGTTGGTATCCATTAAGTTTAGAATAAATTGTCATCTCTATAAATATAGACTTTCAAAGACCAATGTGATTGTGTTTTTTGGTGGTTGAATAATTGTAATATTAAATAGGACATGCATGTCTTGCATTTTTTTTCTTTTTTTAGGTTATAAATTTTTTTCTCATTATTTTTTTCTTGAATGTTACTTGAGGTTTTTTATATAACAATGCAAATGTTATGTAATATAAAATAAATATAAATTTATATAGGAAAATTATTTTGTAATTTAAGACAAAAAAGAATATCAAAAAATAATAAAACCATGATTCTCGCAAGGACTTATAAAAATTTGCAATAGTTATCTAGGCTTTAACCACTTAATTTCTTTTAATGACTTTAGAGAATTAGTTTAGATATATTTATAAATGACGCACGTGATATATTTATTTATACATATTAAGACGTTCTTATGCATGATAGGTGAATATGTAAGGATGATAATGGGCACTCATGAGTCGGATTTCTCTGTATCAATACTCTACTCATTACCTATTATATAAGAAATTTAAATATTCATACCATATCCAATGGGTTTTGAGTATCTATATGAATATCTATTATTCTTTATTATTTAACAAAAATAAATAAATAAAATGTAGACACATATATTAAATGATAAAATTATAAATATTGTACATATATACATGTGCATATATACATGTGTGTGTGTGTAATATTCTAAAAATATAAATGTTCAGCATATATATACAAACTTCAAGCTAGATTTGAGTTGAGTTTCTATTAGGATTTGAGAATATCTATAATATATCCATTACCCATCAGGTAAAGTGTCTATCCAAAAAATATTCATTTATTTGGGTCGAGTCGAGTCGGTATCCATTGAGTTTAGAATAAATTATCTCTATAAATATAGACTTTAAAAGAAAATGTATACATATATATTAAATGATAAAATGATAAATATTATACATACATACATACATACATACATGTGCATATATACATATGTGTGTGTGTGTGTACTATTCTAAAAATATAAATGTTCTGTATTCGTGCACACACACATATATATTGGTCTTTTAAAGTCTATATTTATAGAGATGACAATTTATTCTAAAGTCAATGGATACCGACTCGACTCGACTCGACCCGACCCAAATAAATGAGTATTTTTTGGATAAATACTTTACCCGATGGGTAATGATATGTTATAGATATTCTCACATCCGAATAGAAACTTGACTCAAATCTAGCTTGAAGTGTGTGTGTGTGTGTTTGGGTCGAGTCGAGCCAGTATCCATTAAGTTTAGAATAAATTATCATCTTTATAAATATAGACTTTAAAAGACTAATGTGATTGTGTTTTTTGGTGTTTGAATGATTGTAATATTAAATAAGACCTGCATGTCTTGTATTTTTTCTATTTATTTTGGGTTATAAATTTTTTTCTCATTATTTTTTTCTTGAACATTACTTGAGGTTTTTTTATATAACAATGTAAATATTATGTAATATAAAATAAATATAAATTTGTATATAAAAATTATTTTGTAATCTAAGACAAAAAATAATATCAAAAAATAATATAATTGTGATTCTCGCAAGGACTTATAAAGATTTGCAATATTTACTTGGACTTTAACCACCTAATTTCTTTTAATAACTTGAGGGAATTAATTTAGATATGTCCATAATCATCCAATTTGAATGGAAAGTTAGGGGTGTATGTTTATATATAATTGTTATGTATAATATATCAATTATGTCATGAAATGAGAACTAATTAATATAACAAATCTCTTGTTGATATATTAAGTACATGTTAACAATATGATTTGTTGCTTTCCAATTTTATATACATAAAAACAAAGTTTTATTTATGAATAACTTGTTAAGCTTCTCAAAGTTATTTTTAATCAAATATATTTAATGTTATAAAAAATAAGTAATGCTTAACTAAACTTATATGATTTAGGTGAATCACATGTGATCAAATAAGATTAGAAATAGTAATTAAGTGAAACATAAATTTTATGTTTAGACAAAAAGTTGTTACTTAACTTATCTAGGATATATGGAGATGTGATTGATAAGTTATATTATTTATATAATTTAATTTATTATAATTTGTTGAGCCATATAAATTAAAAAAGATCTTATATCACTATAAAATCTAAATGAGTTTTCTTAAATTGATATGAAGAGTTATTAATTTTTAAGAAAATGGTGGAGACCAAAATTATTATCAAAGATCTTATCTAAATTTGGTTATATATATAAGCATAAAACCAATACTCATTACCTTTACATGAATATGTTGAAAAATTACAATGAGTGAAAATATATTTAAACATGGCATAATTGATAATAATAAATTGACTAAACTAAGCTCCATGAACTAATATTGAAATTTAAAAATTATTCTAAAATATATTATATATTCTTGAAAATCATATTTTACTGTCTTTAATAAGGACACTGATGAAAAAATTAAAACTAAATATCAATAATATATTGATGATAATAAACAAATTATATTTGTAATGCTAGTTAGCATATCACATTAAATGCAAAGACAAAATAGGAATATTGATGTTTGTAATATAATTATGTATTTTAAAGAATTATTTGATGTGATTGGTAAGATTAAAAAATATAAGATATTCAAAGAATTATTCCATTATAAAATGATAAATAATTTTTAGATTAACATTTTTTATATAAAAAATAATTAATTATTTTAAAAAATTATATCAATTGAACTTCATTAAGTAGCATAACTTAATACTAGATCTTACCATCCTTGCATTTACAGTACATAAATATATTGGGGACATAAGAAAGACAAGGATATCTATTTTTATTATGACAAGAAAAACATTAGTTTTACTTTTAAGTATATTTATAATTGAATAATGTAAAATAAATTCATGTTTGACAATAGAGTGAGGGTTCCATTAACTTTGTAAAGTGGGTTGTTATTATTATTATTATTTTAGTGCCTTTTAAAATTATTATATATATATATATATTATTGGACTTTAAATAAATTTAAATTTATTATTAAAAATATATATGAATTTTATATTTTTATTAAAAATTTATACATAAAATATTCAATATAAACAATAATTGGAACAAATTAAATATTTAATATCCTTCATATTGTTTATAATCTAAGTAGAAAAAGTGTAAACTGGTCCTTGATTTTTAACTCATTGATACCATAACTTCCATAAAATTTTAAACCATCTTTCATAAATAACTTATGATAGAGAAATAAAAACCAAGGTTTTCATGTTCAAAGCAGCATTTGTGGTAAAAAGATTCCTATGTAATCTTTCTTTTCTACTATAAGTGGTAGTTGGTTTTTATATTTTAAAAATATTTTATTGGACTTTAAATAAATTTAAATTTATTATTATTTTTTATTAGACTTTAAATAAATTTAAATTTATTATTAAAAATATATATGAATTTTATATTTTTATTAAAAATTTATACATAAAATATTCAATATAAACAATAATTGGAACAAATTAAATATTTAATATCCTTCATATTGTTTATAATCTAAGTAGAAAAAGTGTAAACTGGTCCTTGATTTTTAACTCATTGATACCATAACTTCCATAAAATTTTAAACCATCTTTCATAAATAACTTATGATAGAGAAATAAAAACCAAGGTTTTCATGTTCAAAGCAGCATTTGTGGTAGAAAGATTTCTCTGTAATCTTTCTTTTCTTAGTTGGTTTTTATATTTTAAAAATATTTTATATTTTAAATTAATATTTTTTAGATATTTTTAAATTATTTTAATATATTAATATTAAAAATATTTTTTTAAAAATAAAAAATATTATTTTAATATAAATAAAAATAATTATAATTATATTACTAAATAAATAAAAATATATTTAAAGGTCTAGTTATAATTATTTTTGAAAGTATTTTTTATTTAAAAATATTAAAATAATAAATATATATTTTAAATATTATTATATTAAAATGAGAAAATATTAAAAAATATTAATTTAAAATAAAAATTTTGAAAATATTTTTATAATATAAAAATAAACATGAAAATCAGAAAAAACAAAAAGAGTGCTTGCACACTCACAATAAATTTTGCTTGTGAAAAATATATATGAATTTTATATTTTTATTAAAGATTTATACATAAAATATTCAATATAAACAATAATTGGAACAAATTAAATATTTAATATCCTTCATATTGTTTATAATCTAAGTAGAAAAAGTGTAAACTGGTCCTTGATTTTTAACTCATTGATACCATAACTTCCATAAAGTTTTAAACCATCTTTCATAAATAACTTATGATAGAGAAATAAAAACCAAGGTTTTCATGTTCAAAGCAGCATTTGTGGTAGAAAGATTTCTCTGTAATCTTTCTTTTCTTAGTTGGTTTTTATATTTTAAAAATATTTTATATTTTAAATTAATATTTTTTAGATATTTTTAAATTATTTTAATATATTAATATTAAAAATATTTTTTTAATATAAATAAAAATAATTATAATTA